ACACACACACACACACACACACACACACACACACACACACACACACACACACACACACACACACACACACAACTTTATCCATCAGAGCAGGATCTAATGACTGACCTTCCGTTGGTCTTTTCCTCTCTCTCTATGTGTGCAGAGTAGGGATGTCCCGACTGGATACTCTGTATAGTTATCGGTGGCAGATATGGCCATTTTTTAATAATTGGGTAGAATTGGATTTAGCCATGCAATCGGGCCAATTCAGTTTTTGCAACAGTTTTCAGCATCATCATGCTTAAAGAAATAAAAGAATAAAGCTATTGGATTGGTATTGGAAAGACTAATCATTAAAAAAAATGTAATTGTATCGGGAGCCAAAAAATCTGGATCAGGGCATCCCTAGTGCATAGGTGTGTGTGTGTGTGTGTGTGTGTGTGTGTGTGTGTGTGTGTTGATTTGACCTGCTATTAAACCAGCCTGCGAGGTGGATGGTGCTCTTGAGGGGAGGAGTGATGCCTTCTGGCAGCTGCTTCAATGACGACAAGCTTGATAAGTTCTTCAGTCTGACATCACACACTAACACACACTCACAAACACGTTTGTTTCTCGACCCCGTGGGGACCTTCCATTGACTTCCATTCATGTTTTTTAGACTTTATAGCCTAACCATATACTCTAAAATTAACCTCACAGAAACTTACCTGACCCTAAAACTAACCTAAACCTTGGTCCTAAACCTAACCCCACACCTGTAACATGTATTTGGACCTGTGGGGACCTGACATTGGTCCCCACGATTCACTTCGGTCCCCACCTGGCTGCTTTTTTTGTAAAAAATACCCCATGTTGTAGGAAAAACCCGTACACTCACTCTCTCTCTCTCTCACACACACACACACACACACACACACACACACACACACACACACACACACGCACACGCCGAATGAGAAATGTATGTTTTTGATCGTAACTTTGCTCTGTGTTGTTAAACTGTTAATTTGCAGGGGAATTCATTGCACTGGGCACAGAACAGAGTGAAAAYACACTTTGAGTTATTTTCCAACCACAGTTGGTTGGTCCAGTTCAGCTGAGAGTTGAGAGTAATTCTTTTGTACCTTGAAATTWAATTTAGACACCACTTAGAGTAGTCGCACAGCATCCACCTCTACTAAAGTTTCATTGTGTTCATTTTTCAGTAGAGGTCAYACAAGGTATTTACCTTCTTTTTCTGTAGTTTGTGTATTGATGAAAGACAACTTAAAGCACAGAAATAGTACTTTGCTAAAATATGTTTGGTGACCCACATTTTCTAATTACATTTTACTGGTGTGGGTTTTCATAGAGAACCTGGGCTTWCTAAAYATGTTTCTTGTTGAAAGGTCAGTACCTGTCTCATGGCCGGCTCCTGTGGCCAGGGCAGGCATGTCTCCTGCCGACTGCTTCCTAGTTTCCTTCAGGCTGTGGTTWTAGGCAGCAGTGTGTCAGAGTGGTGAGCTCCACAACAGAATTCCTCAAGGAGAAGATGAATCTGAGGACGAGCTTTATGCCATGGAGTCCTGTAAAGAAAAAGAAAAAAACATTTTAGAGTCTGCTTGTCAAGAAATTAAATGCCTGTATGTACTATGTGTGTTATGGGGTTGCCCAGAAATCTGCCAGCACTGATGTGAATATTATATCATATTTCAGATATCTAGCCATGTCTGAAAACGAGTCAACAATTAACTAAGTCTAAATGTGTGTGTGTGCACTACATTTGATTCTGAATATTAACAGCCATACACTTGATCCAAAGCTGCAGAACATCTTGTTTTTTAAATAACACATTAGACAACTAAACCTTGCATTGCACCCTTTGTGACACGCAAATTAAAATATCTGCTGAAAAGCAGCACCACAATTAACAACTTTAAAGCAAAATCTATATTTCCATTTTTTTTGCACAGCAGCCATAATTCTGACTAATTCTGGCAAGCTGGGTCACGTGTGAAGTATGTAAAGGCCATTCAAACTATAGGGCCTTCGAGTCCTTTCAACAATTCACTAAACTGCAACAAGTTCATAACAAAGACAAGCTGACATAAGTTACCTTCTAGAGTTGGGAGATTATATCACAATTATTTGTGGCATTTATGGAATAACGAATAATATGACATTTAATAAATGAAAATTGCACTTGCGTGTTTTTGTCTCTGGGGTGGTTAGTGTTAGCTTATCGTCAGCTCCATGTTAGCATTAGCATTAGTTCTGTGCTGCAATGACTTAAATAAGTCAGTAATCGCAGTCAGGACAAAGTGCTCTGATAGTTTATTCCATGCATTTCAAGCTGGTACCTGGAAATATGGAGTGTTCATGTTAGCCAATACGCTCCACATTAACATTGGTGYTAGTGCTGCCCTGCAGTGACTTATATGTCATGAATGGCACCAATTGCAAAGTGCCAAATATTAATTGACATTTTTTGACAATTGCACATGATACAATTTTGCCTTGGTACCTTCAAAAATAATGTACAACACACATGTTTAAAAACTGACTGTGACCAAGCTTTAAGTCACTGTGGAGCTGTCCCAGAACAAACCCACTAAAGCAGGGATAGGCAATCCTGGTCCTCGAGGGCCGCTGCCCTGCATGTTTTACTTGTTTCTCTGCTCCAACACACCTGATTTGAAAGCAAAACTGACATAATTAGAAATAAAAGCAGAATTACATGAACCACTAAATAAATACACTTAAAATGCACCAATTAAACTAAAAAAGGAAAACTTATCTCCTGTTTTATATTTTAATTGACATTCATATTTATTTTTCCAGCTTAGTTCCAATAAATTAGTCTATATATTTGAACATAATTTTAATTTGACTATTTTTTAAATATATATTAATTGCTTTTCCTTTTACTTGTACATGCATTTGTGTGTCTTTTATACTTAATTATTTTACATTTTTTCCCAACAAGCCTTTTTATTTCTATGTGTTGCATGCTTGTGATGCCTCAGTTTAGCTAAAAGTTTAAAGTTTAGTTTAAAACAAAGGCAAGGAGGAAAACATTAACTGTGCATTTATTTTTAACTGAACTTTAAGCTAAACTGCGGCAGCACAAGCATGCAACACATAGAAATAAAAAGACTTGGACAAAATTATAAAAATATTTCAATTCAAGCATTCAAGAGACACAAATGCATGTACAAGTAAAAGGAAAAACTATGCAAAATATACATATTAAAACAACATTACAATTTATATTATGTGTTAAAATATATAATTTATTGGAACTAATCTGGAAAAATAAATATGAAGGTCAATTAAATTATAAAACATGAGGTTAAGTTCTCCTCTTTAATTTATTTGGTGCATTTTAAGTGTATTTATTTATTTAAAGGTTCATTATTTCTGCTTTTATTTCTAATTATGTCATTTTCAGTCCTCCATACAGCAGAACCTGGAAGAGGTAGTTCAGTGACTGAATCAGGTGTGTTGGAGCAGGGAAAGATGTAAAACATGTAGGGCTGCGGCCCTCGAGGACCATGATTGCCCACCCCTGCACTAAAGTGAGGGATATCCAAAGCACCTGCTAAACCTYCAAGTTCCATTGGTTAAATTGATGCTTGTGACGTGGGCCACAAAACCTAGGACTAATAGTTTGTAATCTTTGTTAAGAAGATGGACTTGTACAAACTAACCACAATTTTATTTTCTGACAAATAGCCCAACGGTGACAACTGTTTAACCCTGCACTTTCTTATTATGTATACAAATTACCTTCTTCTCAGGAAAGACAGCAGCCAATGTAACAAAACCATACAGTCTTTCTGACATCTCTTGATACAAAATCATCCCAAGATCTAGCAGATTCCAGGTGGAACATTTTGGGAAAAACAAATCTAGTCTGTAGTCCAGGAGTTTCTGGAGCAGGGAAATGWATCATTGAGAGCATTTCACTAATATTTGTCCTCTGGATTGAGATACTATACCAAGTATGTTGCATTCATCAATCAGAACGTCATTGAGAATCAATTTTCCAACATGAGACAATCTCGGAGTCAAATGCAAAATCCAGGTTCTACTGGTTGCCAGCACCAATTGGTGGGCCAGATTTTCTGTCGTTTGCATGAACATAAAGTGCAAGTAAAAAAAAAAACTGATAAAATCAGAGTTCACTGCTTTTACCTTTTGTATACGCCAATAAAATGGGTTAAGAGGCCCAGTAGAGAAGGACAGCAGCAGTGCCTCAAGCCATGACCACAAAATCTCTTCAACAGGCCGACTTGAACAGGGGACTGAACCTAACAGCCACCGAGATCACGCCAAGAGCATCGACCCATTTAAAGCCGTTCAGTGTTTCACAGAGGACACCAYACGGTTTAGTCATAAACTTTGTGATTTAAATGGCAGATCTACGAAAAGATGAGAGACAGAAGGTATGAATAGTCAAGAGGTGCACTGCCTAAATGTCAGATGGTTCCCTTTTGTTGGGAAAAAAAAATCAACTGACCACATAGTCTYAAATGTGGTCACAGCATTGACCACATTTGAGGAAGAATTGGACTTTTCTTGTGAGGAACTTTCTTAAAAGCAGGAAGTGTGATACAGAGACAKGAACACCTGGGACTTTTAACAAGTCTCATAACACACAAACTTATAGAAACATTCTTCCGTCTCACAAAACTGTAATGTGTCGGTTCAGATCAATCACACTAAATCAGATGGTCTTGGAGGAGTAAGGTGACTCTGTTGAGATAAATCTAATTCCAACAATATATTCTTCCCTCTGCTCTTGTGTCTAACATTCAATGGTTCTGCCACCATCTAGTGGGAACTTTCTCTAATGCAGGCAGTTTTGACTTTCCAGGTAGAAGCTGGGACACYGGTTGGCCCTAACAAAAGCAAAGTAAACCATGTCTGTGCCTGTTTAACCCTGTCCAATGTGTGAAACATGAGGTCTGATTACTATTTAAAGAGAAAACAGCTCCAGGTGGTGGATGGATATATGGAACATTGGAAACAGACAAGTGCACGAGACTATTATTCTTCCTCTCTTTTCAAAAACAAGCCATCCATCCAGCCAAGGGGATCATGGGTGGAGACGGTCAGTTCTCAGCTGGATGCTGTTAAAGTTGCAAGGAGAAGAACAGGAATTAAATGACTGACAGTGAAAAAACACTCCAAGGCCCTGTCATGTGTCTATCAAAATTTTAAAGTTCATACAGTTTTACACCTCTTCTATWATTAAATCTTTGTCTTTTTCCTTACCTCCTAATGTTGGATGTGACTGTGGAATGAAAGTGTTCAAATCAGCCAAAAGGCAATTAGACCCTCATCAGGAAAAAATAAGTAGAAAAACATGTCATACTCTGACAGTCACAGAGTTCACTGGGTGGAATGGTTCCACATTCATGTTATCTTCATCTGGGGCTGAACAGGAAGAGCAACAGGAGGACACAGAGGAGGTCAACTCCATTCAAATCTCCCMCAAGTACAATTGCTCATCCAGCATCAAGTGACAGAAAGAACAGCCACTGGTTTTAATGGGCCACCATAAACAATGAGCTGATCTTCATCACATGACTGTTGACCATCCAAAGTCAGTCCTGCCATACCTGTTTTTGTTACAGGAGAGTTATCCAACACCTTCAGTAACTGCTGATCAGGAAATGATCATTTTCAACTGTATGGCCCTAATCAATGGGACAAGAAATCTAATTGACAGTCCATTAACACTTAACTGGGGTCATTATCCTGCTGGAAGGATCAAGTTTTTGAAAAACTTTAACAGGGTTTCTTCAACGATTTCTCAATATTTTGTCCTCATCAGTCTTTCCTTCAACCCATACAGTCACATCCCACCAGCATGATGCTGCCACGTTTCACTGTGGTGATGATGTCATCAGCACTATCAGAGGTATGGTTAAAACCAGACAAAAAGCTGTTTCTGCTGGATAAAAACTTCCCATTTGAAATGGTAAATGRCCTGAACTTTTATAGTGCTTTCTCAAGTCCAAGGACTCCAAAACACTGTACATGACGGTCAATCATCTGCTGTCCTGGGGCAGACAGACAGAGGTGAGGCTGCCAAGCAACAGCACCACCACCTCTGACCACTACCAGCAGGCAATGTGGGTGAAGTGTCCAAGGAAACAATGACTGAGACTAACAAAGTCGGGGTTGAACCAGCAATCCACCTGTTAGAAGACAATTCCCATAAMMACTCTGCCACAGCTRMCCCCATTTGTTCATTTTTAGTTTCTTTTGAGCAAAGCAAGTTCACTTTTGAGGAGCCTCCAGTTTTCCTTTTGACAAATTCTAAATGTCCTGCCCCATTTCTTTTTTAAGAAGTGTCTTTTTCCTGCCACACTTCTATGAAGCCAATCTTTGAGCACCATCATGGTCTATGGATGGATACTACTAGCTGAAAAACGTGAAAGATGTATTTTCATGTAGATTCAAAGAGAAGAAAAGATGTTCATTTTATGGGGAACATATTTCTTACTTAAATCTACCAGTGAGCTCCAGCTATGGGTGTCGGTGTGGGGCAACCAAGGAGGCCGGTTGGATATAA